CACATTCACACAGTGATGCACAGCATCAGAAGAAATTTGGGGTTCAGTATCTTGCTCAAAGACACTTGGACATGCAGCACTTCGACTTCCCTCCTGAGCCACAGCCACCTGTTATAGGGAATAAGGCATTCCTCTTGGATTAACTCCCAGCTCATTAAAGTTTTTTCTCCACTTAAACATATATTTTCTTGTTCCTTGGATGTTTGATCTTGGAGAATGATGTCTGTGCAGATTTTGACATCAGAATTTTCGGTGTGCTCATTGAAATCTGATTTTAAGGGGCGGGGCCTACAAGCAACCATTTGGAAGTCAGTCCTGGTCTTTAAGAGACGAACAAAACTTGCATATTCAGATATTCTGGATTTTTAAATTTAACTAGAAGGAGGAGATGCCTTCTTAACGAAATTATACTTTTTTGTGGAAAAAACATATCAGATGGATGTCATTGTTCCAAGCAGACTATTTGTACCTATGTCTTAATACATATGTAGAGGGAATCTTTAAGTTTTCATCTGAACTACTGGATGTCTCCCTACAGAGAAACATGATGAAACCCATTTTGTTTACAAGTTCATTATAGAGTTTATGTGGGACAAGTTGGAGCTGGTTACCAAATTTGTTTTAATGGACATCTCCTATAGGAGTTCTAGCTGATGATATGTTAACAGCTCACACAGTAGTTCCTGCATGCAGTTGTCATGATGTGCAATAATGTGACTGAAAAGGCATAAAGACTTAAAAATATATACATATTCACAATTTTATTATCAAAACCAACAGATAACATTTATTTCATATGGCTTTACATCTGTTTTCTTTTATTTATTGTTTTATAATTTACTTTGATGTATTTTATATTCATATCATGCCATTGTGGAACAGCATTAACAGAACACACACAAAGCCAAAAAAAAAGACATATATTGACTTTGATGGTTTTAAATTAAAGGCACTGTTTCCTAAAATTTATAAAAGAAACAAGAACACTCTCTTCATGATCATCATCATTACTATCAGTGTCAGCATGATTAATGTCTCACAATCATTGTTACATAAGATGTCTGGTTATATCATCAGAGCACTGGGAGTGCTGGTAGAACTTCCTCAGTTGGTACTAGAGAGGCAGGTAGCTGGGAGGCTGCAGTAGGTCCCTCTTGCCGTAGGTGCCAGATCCCACGTTGGTCGGTGCGTAGACTGTACCGATAGTGTTACTGGAGCGGACCAGGAAGTCTGCTAGCCTTTGGGTGACGCAGGTGGCTGTGTTGCACTTTCTCTTCGCTATGTGGTGACTGGGAAGAAAGTACAGAGTTATAAAAAACTTGTAAATAGAATGTTTTTCATGTAATAAAGATTTAATACAGCTGCTGATATCTATAAAAGCTGTCACCTGTTCATAGCTGTAAGCCCCCTTTGCGGCCGTGCACCCATGAGGCCGAGGAATGGGTTGGAGATTAGCCCAGGAGCTAACCAGCCGTCACTGTCTGGGAGAGCACTTTCCTGCTCGCTGGATGAGTTGGGACTGAAGTACCTGAATCACACAGGGAAAAGGGCCAAACCATTTCACACTGATAGCTGAAGATACCCTCTTCAGAACATCCACTAGCCCCGAGATCAAGAAGAAAAAGTGGCCACTTAGCGCCCCCCGGATTGCACAATGAGGCACTTTCCCAAAGACGAGCACAATCAGTGCCCTGTTGCTCCTCACGCAGAACATTACAGCCCTTCTTATCGCACAATTTCCATGATATTCAGCTACTTGTATGCTGACCTGCAGTTAAACTCCTAGATCGGTTTCCTGCCTGTTAAGACAATAGTCATTTAAGCTGGTGTCTGATCTAATATGATCAACATTTCACCCAGGCCCGGTACCACGAGGGGTCTTAAGGGGGCTTAGCCCACTCAGTTGTATTTCTTATCCCTCTGTTTAAGCTTTATATATAGAGAGAAAAATAACAACAATTATGGCTGAGATACATATGACTATTGTGTATCTGTTGTTTCAGAACCACGGACAGCGTTGTTTGTTTTGTGTAGGCGACAGGGAAGTGAAGGGACATTCAACCAGAGAGAGAGAAAGCTGCAAGCCGTAAACAGCTGTTTCTGTGGCTCCCTTGCTGATTTTGACAGAATTTAAAAAATATTTAGCACACTCTTAATATACATTCATTTGCAAGTGCATTGAAGTGAAACAGTAGCTTTATATTGTTATTTTGCCTTCCTGAGGCTATTGCACATTTAAATAAATGAATTGTATTGTCTAATGTATAAACTCTGCACCTAATCTTAGACCACTATTTTTCTTTTTACAAGTCATTGCACAGACCAAAAAGCTCATTGCTTGTTTGTAATATAATACACTTACCTGTAACTTGGGGCAGTGGTGACGCAGCGCAGCAACACAAGCAGCATGAGGAGAAGCACAGGCACCCTCAGGTGATACATAATGTAGGGTGATTACCTGAAACAGCAAAGAAGATTTGTTTTATTTTTTAGAATGAACCTTTATTTAAATACAAAGACCTGGCCAAAAGACACCAGCGCAGAAACTTACCTATGCATGTACATTATCAGGACTAGTGTAATTAACAAATACAAACAAGAATAAAATGCTGTAATTAAGATATTGGTATTGGTAAAATATTGAGTGTTCCCTGTCTAATTCTGGATTTGAAAAGTCATCATTATAAGAACAAAAAGACAAGTACAGTTAATTCTATACAATCTATAATTTTACTTTGACAGTAATCCACCAGCCTCCAACAAGGATTAACCAGTTCAACTCTGATAAAATATTTTGCTGTGGTATATATTAAGAGTTACAAATTGGGTTGCAAATAAGAAGTATTTTTATTATCAATTAATCTGCCATTTATTTTTATGATTAATCGGTTAATATTGTCTATAATATAAGAAAATGTAAAGAATCCCCTCCACAATTCTTCAGAAGCCAAGCTGATGTCTTCAAAATGCATGTTTTATCTGATCAATCACCCAAAACCCAAAGATATTCACTTTATTATCACATAAGACAAAGAAAAGTAGCAACTGAAAAGCTGGAAGCAGACAGTTTTGGCTTGAAAAATGAGATAATTCAATTAGCAATCAGCAATTAACAGCTGCTGATCAATTGTCTGTCGAAGGATTGTTTCAGCTCTTTTTTACACTCCATTTAAATCATATATATAGTCTGTATGCACAAGCTGTAGTTATTTATTAAAGCTTCTGCACATCATACTTCTATAGTATAAAACATTTACATGCTTCTTTACATTAAAATAGAAAATGCAACAAGACATATTTGGTATCTTTCATAATCCTCTGGATGTTGAATTTAAAACATACACCAGGTCTGTTTATTCGAACCACACACAATGTGTATTTTAAATATCTAAAAACATAAATGAAAAAGTGTGAAAAGAGATTTAGCAAAATATCCTATTCAAACCTACAAGAAAACTAATTAAAAAACACTGTCCATCTCCTGTAGCACCCCATAGACAAGACTCAGACACAGGTACAGCAAAAAAGACAAACTTAAGAGAGACAGAGTACTTACTTTCTGTTGTGTTTGCCAGTAGCCAGCAGATTCCCAGTCTGTCACTGAAGCAGTCCAGGGTTTGTCAGACTGTCACACAAACCGACTCCAACAGTTATAGGCTCATCGCTCAAACCACTTGTGACATCAGCTCTCTCCAAATATAGCCTTGCATTTTCATTTACACAGAATGGGGAGGACGAGGGGGGAGGAGGGATGTAGGGAAGTCCAAGAGGGTCTTACATATGTCATACACACTCTCAGCTGTACCTTAAAGTACACTCTTAAACCTGTGCACACGCAGAAAAATGCTAATTTTCACACTGAACACACACTCACACACACACACACACACACACATACGCACACACATCTTTGTACGTCACCATCCTCATCATCACCTTCGTCATCGTTCTCATCAGCGCCTGTGATGGGACTGACCCGCCATAAACCCACACCAGGGAGAGGAAAGCTGTCTTTCTATTTACCTTGAGACACATAATGAAGTTTCAGGTCACCAAACTCTGGCCCTCCTGCCTCCCTCTGGACTTCATCGACGATGAATAATAAATGTGAAGATGAATTATCATCAATAATGAATGGTGTCTCATTATTTTGACGGGACACGTCACAAACAACTGAGAAAGTACTAATTAATGAAGTGATGGTAAAACTTGAGAGTAACACTTTACAAGCACGTGACCTGGAACTCTGACTAGTTGATGAGTGGATTAGCAAAAACATCTCTTTGCGATAGTTTCTTGCAAACTTTAAAATATTCAGTATTTTTCTGTAACTTTAAAGCTGCTATAATCACAATTTTCTATATTAACAATGGATCAAGACACTACTTGTAATGTGAAAGGTGTCCCTCGTCGTGACAAATCGTTGCGCTATGGAGCGTTTTAGGGTCTTTCAGCTCACTGCTTTGTTTTTACTGCCTGCAACTTTACTGTTTTGGTTGAGTCTCACTGCTCTCATCATTGTTGTTTTCAACCACAGCAGGAAGCAGTTTTCAGTGAAAAGGCTAAAAAAAACAGACTGTACGCTACCTGCTTAGCAGGTTAGCAACTATCCGGTGAACTTAGAGGAGTATTTAGCAGATGAAAGAGACAGGTATTTCGGTAGAGACCAAAAACAGAGCTAAAAAGAGAGTGAATATACCAATAAAAATCCAAATAAATGTTAATATTGCTTCGTGTCAGCTGGATGTGTGGATAGGTAGCTGTTTACTAACAGGTTAGCCAGCTTGATGATGTCATTGTTTGTGTTTACAACTTGTTTCCACTGCTCCGATGTGGCCAAAAAATCACCACATCAGTCAGGTTCATGACTACACACCCCCACATCTGTCATCTGACTGATTTAAATGTTACTAATCTCTGACTGGTGCATCAGTTAGGAAATATAAGACATTAACGTTTTCCAGCTAAGCCACACCCACCTCTGTTGCACAGGAGCTTATGCGTTTTCAGCTGAAACAGGGCTTGGTTTGGATTAAATAGAAAATTAACTGTATATTTGAGACATACTGTATTAGCAGGTATTGCCACCGTAGCTAGGAGAAAAGCACACATAAAAATGTAATTATCAAAGAATGCAGGAAAAGAACACATTCAATTTAAAATTATTATCATAACCATATTCCTTATGAACGTTTGTCTGTGTCCATGAGATGCCACCACAGACTGCAGGCTGCTGGTAAGTGCTGGTGGTTTTTACCGCAGCTTTGAGCTGAGAGACATAGTGCAGCCCTAATGGACATGCAACACCTCCAAACCCACCAAGGTCCAGCTAACACCTCCCTGTGTTTCCTGTAAGCTTCCCAAGAAAACCTGCTGTGACTGCAGACAAAGATAGAGTGACAGGAAATGTTCACATTTCTCTACTTTTACATCAATTATATAGTATGACTTGATTTACTTCCTTGGCACTATTATTTGTTCAAGGCTGATTTCTGCAGATGATTACACAATAAACTATTTATTGGTGATAGTCTGAACACAATTAGTTTGGCCATGTACAACAGATTTCTGTCGATGCCTGTTAATGCAATTATATCCCGTTTCACTGGCAAGCGCTGGTTGTTAAAAAAAATTACAATAATTGGATTTAATATATAATTAACCAATGAAATATTTAGCTACTCCATTGGATATGAGGGGGTTGTTTAGAAAGGTTAATTTGCACAATCTGTCCTGACAGAAAGGACAGAGCGGAAGGAAAAGACAGAAGACAGGAGGGAGAGAAAAAAAGACAGAAGGTGGGTGGTATGTGTAGGATTTAAAGCCTATATATAAGATATAGTCTGGGGAAACATGTCTCTTGTATCATTCTATTATCTTGTCCCTTGGATTACTTCAGTAATCGTGAGGAGCCAGATGTTACATGGGTGGCAGCTCAATTTCCTGCTCCCATCACAGAAAGAACCAATACCGCAAAGCTGAGTGAACCACCACAGTCCACAAGGTATCAGGAATTCTTCTTATTCCATACTTTGAAGGTGTTCCTCCAGCAGCTTTGTTTCCATTTTCACATTCAGTGCAGATATTTAGGATTGAAAGCTCCAATACACAGCTCAATATGGCTTTATTAGTATTCCTCTAGCAATGGACAGAGGAGGGATCTAAAGGCTCTGGGGAATGATTAGTAGCAGTAAAGGTAATACTGTGACCTCTGATAATGACTGTTTATTAACTGGGGATGTCCACTATTTCATGAAGTCTTACTTGAATGACATTTATATGTGCAATACCGACGCACAATTGGAGGAACTCCATGACATGGTCACAGATATATTGTTGGAATAACAGCCAAACTGTGTGTCTCTCTGTGGCCTATGATGCATCCACAGACACAAATAAACAATTAACGTCACCAACACCTACCTGTACTGTCCTGGGAAAACAAATGCCAGTTGTTTAATTAATTGCATGAATTGGCTTTTTGGTCAGGAATGCTAGTGGTTTGTGTAATTGTTTTGGCTGACAAATATTGCTCAAATATGTAGCTGTTCCTCAAGCCTAATTATTCCACTGATATTTCTTCCTCTACACAAATGTACTATTAACATGCTTTTGAACACTAGGCAGCTGAGTTTTCTATTCATTTACCCAAACTTAAAGCTGCTAATATCAATATTTTCTTATTAACAATGAATCAAATGGATCTTAGTGACAAATCAACAGAGAATTATCACCTTCCTCTCTGCTCTCCAGAGACATTTAGCATCTTTTAACTAATTGTTTTGTTTTTCTGCAGCCTGCAACTTCACAATTTTGGTTCACTTAGCTCTCATCAAAGTAATTTATATTAAAAATGAAAAAACCCCACAAAATTAGCGACTAGTTGGCGAACACAGTGGAGCATTTAGCAAGAGCAAGATATTTTCCTCAGAAGTTGTTATGTTCATCAGGTGCACAGAAATACAACTCTGTAAATAAGCCACTCTTTGCTAGCACGTTTGCCCTCAAACTTTATAAGATGATAATGAGTCAGTATTGTATTTACAGTTTGTTGTGCTGCCCCCAAGTGGCCAAAAAATAAACAATGACATACATTTAAAAACTGTGCTGTCAATTTGTACTTTTAGCACACCACTCATGAGGAAGAAACCTAACAGGAAGATCATTTTCATTATTTGTCCACAGCATGATATTGTGTTAACTTTGCTTTCATTTGTTTTCGAGAGTGCAAAATTTAATGTGAATATAATATCACACATTTAATAGTTCATTTATTAACATAAAAAGCAAAAATCTCTAATGTTTTTCAATCAGGGCCTTGTTAGGAGTCAATATTTGACTTGTTTGAGTTGTTGGTCAATGTGCACATCCAGTGCTATTCCATATTTATACAAAGTACTGTAGTATGTTTCTATAGCTGTGGAAATCACACCACTGATAGCCCATTTCCTCTTCAGGACTAATTGTAATTTAACAACTCCTGTAATACAATACAAGAGGGAAGAAATACTGTTAGCACAGAGCGTGCTGTAGCTTAGAAGAAAATGGAATTCCTCTTGATATTCCAAATAAATGTGACTTTTGGCCAAACTTTGTAACATTTCTACAATGGTTCCACTTGGCCTTGTTTGATCTTGTGATTGAGGACACATCGGTGAACACCCTAGTTTTATGGGCTGTCAGTTTCTTTGCTGTGTGCCGTTTCGTTCTCTAACTTGTTTTTGTCATCCACGTGATGGTTCGGCTTCTCTTTTTCCACCTGTGCAGTCGTCTCCTTGCAAAACTCTTTTCCCTCTTTCACCTCCTCCTCTGACCTCTGCCCCTCAGACTCTCTCTTTGCTTCCTCATTTGGAAGAGGAGTCAACTCAACAGTGGTCTCTGTCAGGGATTGGAGCTGTTGCCTCTCTTGGGTGTTATTTGTAGAGATGAGTCTGCCATCTTGGAGGAGCTGCTCTTTTCCATGAACCTCCCCTCCCTCCTCCAGATCTGTTGTGATCCTTCCACAAACATTGGGAGCATAAGGCAGTTTGGGAGTTTTAAGAGAACCTGGCTGGTCCTCAATGGAATTTGATGGGGCCTGAAGTTCAATTTCCTTGGAAGCTTTTGTATGCTGCTTCTCTGCTTCTCGCTCTGGTTTCCGAAACTGTCGTCTGAGGAGGATGATGACGGCAATGATGAAGAAATATGAGGAACCACTGAGACAAGTGATCAGACCTAGGAAGATGATCCTGAAAATAAAGACAAAAGAAGGGCTAAGATCTTTATTGTTATGGCGTCTAAAGTGGTGGAGAAAAACGAATTACAGGTAATAATATTTATTTACAGCCATAATATACCACTCAACACTTTTTATATTAGTAATCATACTCTACTTTCACATTTGTTACCCATTGCATACCTGTACATAGCAGAGTCATAAATGCGGCATGCCCCCCTGCCCCCACACTTCTTGATCGACCACTTCAGGCAAGTTGAATCAATCAAGGCTCCGAAATACACCGGTGCAGGGATTCCACCTACAGGCAAAGTGTCACCGACATATGTGTTGTTACAACATCGCAATGCAGAGAAATATTGTGTCACTCAGTCATATTTCTCATATCATCTTATTTTGACTGCCACATAGCAAACTAATAAAATGGAGTTTTCACAGCATCCATTTTGCCATGAAATAATTGGGTAAACATAGGTGTGAGACTAATTAAGGTTCCATTCCATTTAGTGTAGCAGAGCCTTTTCAGTGAGCACAACATGCATAATATCTGACTCTGTTTGACCCAAATGGAACAGAACCTTAATTAGTATCAATGGTAACATGGTTTACCCTACTATTTCATGTCAAAATGTCTGCAGTGAAAACTGTGGGACCTACTGTACCAGAAATTGTACTAACATTGAAATGCAAAACATTGTACTATATTTGCAACTGAAAGTACTGAAGCTTACCAAGAGTCCGAGTTACCAAGGTCTGGATACCCAACGCAAGGGATTTGAGCTCTGGTGAGATGCATCTGTAATTACAAAACATTGTAATGTTGCTATGCCTATGTCAGTGCCTTTAATGGTTTAGTTTGACATTTTGCTGAGAGCTAGATGAGAATATAAACACCACTCTCATGTCTGTACACTAAACATGAAACTACAGCCAGTTAGCCTAGCTTAGCACAAACACTGGAGACAAGGGAAAAAAGCTAGCCTGGCTCTATCCAAAGGTAAGAAAATCCATTAATCAACGAAAGTTCACTAATTTAACTTTGTTCTTTGTTTGTTTAATCTGCAAAAACCAAGTAACACTTTATACAGATAGTATTTGAAACCCTGAAACAACTGCTTCGCTTTGTCTGTAGATGTTTAACAGTTTATCTATGTGACAATTCTGTAGGCGGACTATGCAAATAAAAGATTAGCACAAATGGTAAAATTTACACTGTTTTTACAGGGGTTATATGCCAGACTATGCCCTGGAGTCTTATCGGCACCGCAAAGTTGCCAGGCAACCAGCAGCTATTTAAGAAATGTTCTGGCACATAACCCCTTAACCTCCAACTACTCGATAAGCAGTAAGCGCAACAGTATACAGGAGGAGAAGGGTCCAGCTGCGGCT